TTCCTCTGCCCCTTCGAAATCCAGCTTGTACTTCTGGGAGTTCTCGGTCCACATACTGCTGAAGCCTGCCTTGTAGGATTTTGAGCATAATCTTGCTAGTGTGTGAAATGAGTGCAATTGTACAGTAGTTGGAGCATTCTTTTGTACTGCCCTTCTTTGTGATTGGGATGTAGACTGATCTTTTCCAGTCCTCTGGCCACTGCTGAGTTTTCCAAACTTGCTGCACCTTAACAGCACATCTTTTAAGATTTTAAATAGTCCAACTGGAATGCCATCACCTCCACTGGCCTTGTTGTTAGCCAGGCTTTCTGGGGCCCACTTGACTTTACTCTCTATGTTCTAGGATATCTGGCTCAAGGTCAGCAACCACACTATCTGGGTTGTCCGGGACATCCAAATATTTCTGGTATAATTCCTTTGTGTATTCTTGCCACCTATTCTTGATGTCTTCTGTTTCTGTTAGGTCCCTACCATTTTTGTCCTTTATCATGTCCATCCTTGCACAAAATATTCCTTTAATATCTCCAATTTTCTTGAACAGCTCTCTGGTTTTTCCCTTTCTATTATTTTCCTCTGTATCTTTGCACTATTCATTTAAGAAGGCCCTCTTGTTTCTCCTTGCTATTCTTTGAAAGTCAGCATTCAATTTTCTGTAACCTTCCCTATCTCCCTTGCATTTTGTTTCCCTTTTCTTCTCTGCTATTTGTACGTAAGGCCTCGTTGGACAGCCACTTTGGTTTCTTACATTTCCTTTTCTTTGGGATAGTTTTTTTTGCTGCCTCCTCTACAATGTTACGAGCCTCCATCCATAGTTCTTCAGGGACTCTGTCCACCAAATCTAGTTCCTTAAATCGGTTCTTCACTTCCACCGTGTATTCATAAGGGATTTGGTTTAGATTATTCTTCACTAGCCCAGTAGTTTCTCTACTTTCTTCAGTTTAAGCTTGAGTTTTGCTATAAGAAGCTGATGATCAGAGCCACAATCAGCTCCAGGTCTTGTTTTTGCTGCCATATTAATTACACAGATGTAAAACATCTTCTTCAACCATTTCCTCAAATCTCCTGTGCTGCATGCATATACTTGGAGAACACTGAGGCAACAAAGCCATAAAGTGACAAATCAGAGTTCTTTGCAATGTGTAGATGTTTTTAGATATCCTGATCTAACATATGCTCTTCAGATGTTGTGACACAACATATGGATTGCAATTCCTTGGCTAAAAAGTAGACCTTGGGTCATTTAACAAAGGACCAGGGGAGTTTTCCACCATCAAGCATACCTCAGAGAAGAAGGCAGAAGAAGATAGAATCAACAATTGCCACTACCAAGTGGAGAAAAAGATTTTGATGCCATAGAGAAGAAGGGGGAAGTCAAATGCCATCTGAGAGTGATAAAATAGGAAACAGGAAATGGAAATAATGAATTAGGCATCCAAATACATTGCTCATGGCTGATACACAAAAGTGCTAATAGGGAAAAACAGATGGAAAAGGAGCGAAGCAAGCCTTCGAGAATACAGAGGAGCAAGAGTTGATTATGCTCTATCTGATGGCATTCTTATACTTTAATAGCTGATTGTGTGGCCCTTCAGATCATTACACTTTGATTCTACACCAATCTTCTTTTATCCAGACCAGGAGTACAAGTTTCAAGATATATGTCCAGTTTGGAGTGCTCCAGTCTCCTTATACTCTACTGCAATACATAACATCCTTTTAAGCTAGATCTATTCTACACAGCACTGCCTGAAACTAGAGAACAGAGAGAGAGAGAGAGAGACAGAGACAGAGAGAAAGAGAGAAGAAATGAAGCACCAATCATACTCTTTAGAAACTTGGTCTTACATGACTTCTCTGCTTGTTTAACTGTTTGTGTATTTGTAGTCATTTTTTCTATTGCTCAACTTCGATCAAGCACTTCTCCAAAGGGTACTCATGCTCAGGTTAAAAAAAACCTTCTGTTTTCAGTAGGGAAGAGCGAATAAAAGAATAATGTGTATATGTGTGAACTTCATTCTGACATTACACCAACAAGCCATATCTAGAAGAGGTGCCATTGTAGTGGGCATAAAAGCATTTGATTGCTATTAATGAGCATAAAGGAACTCTAGTACAAAAGTGGAATGTGCCCTCTGGTGGCCATAAATAGCCAGTTCAACATCGAAAAACACTAATCTATGCAGCTTCTGACAGTCTATTATCTCTGCAAAAGGAAAACACAGCTTAATTGAAATTTTCCTCCAGAAACAGAGCATGCTCTTCATGGTCCAAATACATACCACATAAATTGCTATTTATAGCTTCACACAGTCATCCTGCTGCATGCCCCAATTCTACCTACTCCACATTTCAATCTCTTCCCATGCAGAGAGATGTGTCAAATTGTTTAGTCAAATACCTTTGGGCCACGTGGTCTAACAGATTTCCCCATTAGTTTCTCATCATCCAGTTCACATTGTTCCAAGAGATCCAATATGTCTTCTTCCTGAAAACATAAATCCCTGGATTACTATAAAAACAAGGAGGCAGGCAGTAACTGACATATTAGCAGCATGGAATGTCGTTTCTTATCAAACGGTAGCTAGATTCCAAAACCAGGTCCACACCAATTTATAGGATTTATTTATTTATAGGAGCAAAATTTGGGATCAAATTTTGGAGCATCAATAGCAGATGGTAACATCAGAGTAATGTTAGCTCAACCCAACTAACTGTTGTTTAGTCGTTTAGTTGGGTCACGAAGAGTCGGATACAACTAAACAACAATTAGTTGGGTTGAGCTAACATTACTCTGATGTTACCATCTGCTATTGATGTTCCAAAATTTGATCCCAAATGTAATACAGGTAAAATCTTCAACCATAAATGTTAAAGCAATATGAGGCCAGCTCACTTACACTACAGCCAGAATTTCTATTCAGGCAGTCTGTGGCTCTCTAGCTGTTCCTGAACTTCCATTATCCCTCACTATCAGCTACGAAGGAGGAACACACCAAAAACTTTCAATTTGGTTTGGTTTCGTTACCTTTCAGGTGATGCTTTGTTTTCAATTGTTTTGTGCATGGTTCCTTTTGTCTGATACCAAAGGGACTGGTTCCTTGCAGTACCCTCCAAGTGAGTCTCAAATGGCCAGCTCAGTGGCAGGTCCACGTTTATATGGAGGAGGAAGAGCTGCTCAAGATGACAAAGCACTACAAAAAAGGTCTGGTTGAGGGGGAAACTGGAGAGGTAGCTGGCTAGGAAGTCTCTCCAATGGAATGGGGGGGGCAGGCTGGCAGCAGGGGTGGAAGGCAATGACAAAGAGTCTGCTCAAATGGCTGGAAAGGCACGCATATGATCACATCAGAAAAGGTCACTTTGCAGGGAATGATCTCCCTTAAAGTGACTCTTCCATCTGCTAGGGAATCGTTTGAGCCCATCCCCAAAAAGTAGTAGCGCTACAGCTGCACCCAAAGGGTCCAGCTTGCATACAAATTGGGATTGGGCTGGAGAGCAATTCCTCGTATGTTGTGTGACCACTGCAAAATAGATCACGCCAGAAGGCTGCATAAGCGGTCCAAAATACAATCTACCTCTCTGGGTGAGTAAGCAAGCTTGCTCACAGCAGATGAAGTAAGAGCTTCCTCTTGAAGGTATTCCTTAAGCAGTGGCATTCTAATTAGCTGCTAACAGCAGCCATCACAACACTATGTGATTAAATATTTTCCTGGCAATTTAATCAGACAGATACTGGGTGCAAGAAAGAACAAACAAAAGATAGGAAATGAAAGAGATATGAAATTTTCATTTACTACTCCTTCATTTGAACAAAACGTTTGTGAAAACCAATAAGACCATTATAATGAAAGAAAGAGGCTCTTTCTTTCCCAACTAAAGCCCCATTCCTATTGGCAATGCTTCCTAGGTCTGGTGGCAACACTGAAAAGCCACAAGCTGGAACATAAGACAGCTTTACATATGAAGAACATTGGACCAAAAAGAAATGGTTTAGATTAGCGTTTCATTTAAAGCTTAGTTGCCATTCAACAATCAAGCCACCAGAAGGTTTCCCTCATGTATGAGAGGGATGGAAAGCTTATGACTCAAGTTTGGCTCCCACTGTTCCTCTCCCTGCTGATGGAGGATGTCAATGGTATTTTAAAGATCACAGGTTGCTCACCCCAGTCTAGCAGAATGCCTGGAAATGCAGAAACCCATATGTGTCTTTCTCTTTAGAAGGCTCTTGCAAATTCACTGAAGACATACTGAGCACAACTAGTAGCCTGCAGAATTTCTACATTAGGTAGATAAGTGTATGGTCTGAGACGGTGGTTCCCAATCTTGGGTCCCCAGAAATTCCTGGACTAAAACTCCCAGAAGCCTTCACCACTAGCTGTGCTTGCCAGGATTTCTGGGAGTTGTAGTCTAATAACATCTGGAGAGCCAAGGTTGGGAACCACTGATCTAATCAAAGCATAGAATTAATCTATATTGCACACCTGTTCATATATGATGAGTTCATGTATGTCAACCACATACAGAGCTCTAGCCTTGCCACCTTCATTCCTGGTTTCATCACCCATCCACATGTTCAAGACAAGTATGAACAGAGAGATCTGTATTATCTGTGCATGCTCTCTTTACGAGTAAGCACTCTGAATAACCAGAGTCCTGATGCATGTAGATAGTGGAGGACCACTGGTAGAACGGCAACAAGATCAGAAAAAGATGGTTCTGCTCAGCATACATGAATTCCTGAATTCATAATGGCTAAATAAATCTTATCTCAGATATATCTTTCCTCCACAATGAGTCTCTGAGCACAGGTCAGAGAGAACTATAAGTTTGGAAAGGTGAGTGGGGGAGTGCTGAAAAAATATTCCACATCTCTTCCATTTCGAAAGAGGTTGATATTGCACAGTATCAAAAGCTGGAAGAAATGCCAGGAGGATGTCAACAGATTCACTCATCAGTACCTTCATTCTTTTCAGAGGGTTGTTCATTTCTCGTTGAAGTGAAGCTGCTCTCCCTGAAAGGAATGTGTGAAAGGCAGCAGCTAACAAACCTTCATATTTTTCAAGCAGCAGCTTGTCATCCGGGGGATAAATACGTCTGTAGTTTAGCCAAAGAAAAAGAAAAACTATGACATAAAGACAAGGATCAACATTTTGAAGCAAACAAGTCATGCAACAACAGAATAATGAAGGTTCCGTTTACTTAGATAGGAAGTGCGTACAAGATTATTCCAGTGGCTTATGCACAAAACTAAACCACGATGATCCTTGGGTTGCAGCTTTAGCATTCATCATCAATGTGAAAGAACCACTGTGGATGCTAATTCCAGTTCAATGACTCTGCGTGTGATTTCAATAGTGGTGTTGGGCAGGTGTTAGTCAAGTATAGAAGCAAGACAGGGGCAGCACTTACTATTCTACACCAATATGAAACTTTGAATACTCACTGAAACATCAACTGCAGGTATGCATGAGGCATGAAACATTACCAAAATATAGTATTCATGATTCAGAAGCATCAGCAGTGAATTTAAGAAGGGGCATGACTTTGTTTTCAGCAAAACCACAAGGAATGAGCCACATTCTGCTTCCTAGTAGGCTGGAGTGAGCACCAAAACATCCCATCTTGCCTTGCATGTCAGTAGCACAGCTACTGCTCAACTGCCACAGAATGGACTGGAAAGGCCAGAGTAGGAGGTTTCATAGTGTGGGGTAGGCACTTATCTTCCCTATTCTTTACAGAGCTCTAGAATCCAGGTGTTCTTGGACTGCAGCTCCCAGAACCCCCAGCCAGCACAGCTGGCGGTGAAGGCTTCTGGGAAGTGTAGTCCAAGAACACCTGGGTTACCCAAGGTTGGGAATCACTGTTCTAGAATATACCATGCATATCAGTGGTTCTGGATACATAAAAATACAACCTATGATTACTACAGAATTCCTATGCGGGATAAGACTTGGGCAGGCACTATAGCTCAGTGATAGTGGAACCAGTGTTTTTGTACACAGGATCCAATCCCTGCCATCTTCACATACATAGAAAAATCAAGCCGGTGGTGTTTCGAAAGACCTCTACCAGAGAAGCTGAGGAGCTACATCTAGTCAGAATAAACAATAAAAACTAGATGGGCGAATCGTCTTCCTCCTGAAAGGAGCTTCCCAGGCATCTGTGACAGTAATAGACAAATGTTCAAGAAAACCTATCCAGCACTACTGATCTGTCAATTGCATAAGCTTCCAGGTAACCCACAGTTTTCTGGAAGACAGTCTGGAATGGCTTCCTCTATGATTAAGGACAGTTTCTGACCTATACCCAATATATAATGCCTTCCTAAAAGATTCTTGAGAGCTACTAAGTGTTCATTAGAGTAGCCACATAATAATTCTCTAAAGCAGCCTAGCAGGTGTACTCTTATTACAAGAACTGCCAGTGACATCAAGTTGCAGTCGGACAGAATTTTGATTACACTTGATCATTGTGTGAAAAACTGTAAGCCAGGATCTTCACTGGGTGAAATATTCTGGCAGCTGTAGTCCACAAAAGTGCACTTTTCCTAGCTTTAGTGGTAACAGCCTATTTCAACTTTGACCATGGTTTAGACTTCAAATTACAGCAACACTAACCATGGTTAATGCTAACGTCCCATCTTAAAGATGAATTTAAAAGGGAGGAAGTAAGGAGGAATTAAGCCTGGACAGCAGAAAGGAAAGGAGTGCCTAGCTCAAAGGATGGTTTCAGAAAACTAAGGTTTTGCACAAAGCAGCAGAAGTAAAATATATTGCTGGTGGTTGTATTTTTAAGTCAAATAACTTGACCTCCTCTAAATTATTCCAATTGTTTTCATGACATCCTTCTGCTACTCACAGCATGGCATATTTGTACAAGCATGATTTAAACAGCATTTTTTTCTTATTACAGAAGAAATGAATCCAAGATTTGTGCTGAATAAGAAGCTATGATCACATGGTTACCTGTAATTTCCCATATGCCTGTTTTCATGTTCCTCTTTGGAGATCTGCCTACGGACTTGTGCAAGTCTCTCTTTCTAGAAAACAAGAACATTTAAGAAGTGACTGAACACACCCCAGAGAAAAAGAGGGCAGAAATGTAGCTTTTTTATTGACTACTTTGAAACAATACCAGTTCCTCTCTCCTCCTTTCTAGGGAACGGCGCTGCTTCTCCCAATCAGAAGACACTGGTGACAGCCTTTTCATTGAGCCTTGGCCATACAGTCGCTTCTGAGCCTCTGCTTTTTGCTTAGCTAAATTTCTTCTTTTATCACTTGTCCTGCAAGGGAAGTTACAAGCCGATATGATAAAAGAAATCCAGACAAATAAGCAATCCAGCAATGTAAGCCACCTTACATTGAAGATGTTAAACATATTTTAAATAAATAAAAGTCTGGTTTGGCCTGCTCCTATGATTTTGGCAGCAGTTTGGTGTACAAGAGTCAATGGCAAAGCTTTTCAAGGTATGAATATAACTTTCGTTGCCTAACAAGGACCAAGAATTTTGCCAAAACAAAAACAAAAAGGGGGGGGGAGAATAGTCATATAACATACCCATTTAGATCACAAGGGGGTGGGGAATGAATTATAATTCTCCAGTCCTGCTTGCTAAGGGCCAGGGCTTAGAAATAACAAGATGCAAATAATAATGTTACCCGTAACGTGTTATGTTTTCAATAACAGTGTTGCCAACTTCATTACTTTTGAATATATATGCCATAATGAGCAATGTTTACTATTCCTCATTACTTTCAGTGATTTCCATTGGGGGACCTTTCTTAATTATTAGTCTTAAAATTGTATTTTTAATAAACATCGGCTAGAATCCTATTGGTGGTCACATTAGATTTGGGTAACTTGTTGCAGCTCATTGACAAGGTACCAAGGCATACCTCAGTCGTGCAGTGCCATAGTTGACCAGACACACAACCTAGCCATGGCCTGTTACCTCATCAATTAGCCATAGTAGATCATGCTAATCTTATGCATACAGCAGTAGAATTCTGGCTAGTAAGTAAAAAGCACCTTGTTGATGCAAGGCAATATAATGAGCTTATTTTAATAATTAATTGCTTTTTAAAACTTTTGCCTTTCTTTCTTTAAAAAAAGGGGGGCAAAAAAGATAAACAGGAAAAGGAACACATTACTTTCAAAAAGAAATATTCCAAGCTCTGCTAATCATAAAGTATTTTTTTAAAAAAATCAATGCATATAAGCATAATTCCAAGCTCTGCTAATCATAAAGTAATTTTTTAAAAAAAATCAATGCATATAAGCGTAATGGAAGACATCACAAGAGAAGAACTCATGAAATGTTAACAACTGAAGCATTTTAAATGGGAAGAATTTGCACAAAGAGTACCCACTCCCTTCCATGTATTAATTATTCCCTTTTAAAATGTTAGAAGGGTGAAGAGCTCATCTAGCCAAACCTGCATACAGTGGACCCTTGACTTACAGATGGCTTGACTTACAGACTTTTTGAGTTACAGACTTCTCTGGCCGCAAAATTTAGATTTGACTTGCAGCCTGAGAATTGACTTACAGACCAGAAAAAAACCAAAATGGAAGTATCTAAGGGAAAGCCGGATTTCAAGCACCAAAGTAGTTAGGTCTCAAAAAAAGGTATCCAAGAGACAAACAACAAAACTGCCCCTAATTAAAAAAATGGAAAATGAAAATAGCTCACAAATTTGTATTTTTATAATGCAGCTGCCTTGGGTCCTTTTAAGATGAAAGGTGGGATAAAATTATCTTAAATAAATAAATACAGATTCCACCACCTTCTCTATAAAGCTGCATTTCAGCATTATGAGCAATGGAGACAGAATCTGAAATAGAAGTAGGGTCCTTTTGGTGAAAGACAAAGGATTGGGCTTTAAGTATATTTAAAATCAATATGAATGAAGAGTTACTATTCCACATAGCTCTACTACCTCCTGATATGACATCCTTGATCACAATGACTTTCTATGCGCCGGATCTATTTGATAAACCTGACAGCCTATCGCCCTACATTTAGAAAATATGTAAAATCATTCCAAGATCTCTGTCCTGTCATCATCCTATGCCAACAGCTGCACAGAAGCAGTTGCTTAGACAGCCCAATCATACATCACATTTTGCTTCCTAAGAGGGCTGTCACTTTATCTGGAAAGACACAGCTTCACATGTAAACATGTTGTCAGGGTAATTCCTGCAAGGAAGTAACACACTAACAATCTGTCCTAGGGAGGAGATGCATAAGGCCTTTCCTTGCATCACTCCCATAATCCAACCAAATGCAAATCCCATTAAAGTGACTATGGGAATTTAAAAAAAAAACCCTGGGCAGCCTCCTCCTAGTTGGAGCTTTAAACATTTCCACAAAGAGAACAATCAAAGATATTGTCGTATACTCTATAATGTAATTTTACTCAAACTCAGGTAGAGATTAACAGAACCTGAAAATAATGTGTGAGAATTAATGTGTTAACATCAAATGAATTGCTTGAATTCAGTTAATCTTAACACGAGAAGGCCCAGAAATCTAGTATTTAAAAATAGTATTTAAAAAACTTTTACTTACTTAAAACATTAGTTTTTCCATACTACTCTGTAGAGGGAACATTTCAGCTCATATTAAGGTAAAGGTAAAGGTTCCCCTTGACATTTAATCAGTCGTATCCGACTCTAGGGGGCGGTGCTCATCCCCATTTTCAAGCCACAGAGCCATATGACATTTAATCAGTCGTATCCGACTCTAGGGGGCGGTGCTCATCCCCGTTTCCAAGCCGTAGAGCCATAGTTTGCCCAAGACAGTTTCCGTTGTCACGTGGCTAGCACGACTTAGACCCGGAACGCTGTTTACCTTCCCACTGAGGTGGTCCCTATTTATCTACTCCCATTTGCATGCTTTTGAACTGCTAGGCTGGCGAGGAGCTGGGACAAAGCAACGAGAGCTCACTCCGTCGCGTGGATTCAATCTTACGGCTGCTGGTCTTCTGACCCTGCAGCACAAAGGTTTTTGCTGTTTAACCCACAGCGCCACCACGTCCCATCAGCTCATATTACCCCATCCCAAACAGTGTATGTTTGATTTTATAGGTTTGATTTTATTTATAGGTATCTCCTTCATAGCTACCTTTCTAAGTTAGTCTTCTGATTTTTTCACAGCAGTCCCTGATTTGTAAACAAAGTGTAAAAAAATCACCAACAGCTTCTGTTTCTTTATTGTCAACACTGAATTTAGGTAATCCTCCAAGCCCAGCTGCAGTTTTTCTACTGCACTTTCTTTTTCAACTGCTATAGTTTCGAATCATTGCTGTTTTCTGCCAGTGTTATGCTATCTATGTATACTTCCACCAATTTTCACTACTCCAGCTGAAGATGATCCAACTTTCTGTGTACATTCTGCTTACAGATTGATGAAACAGGGAAATCTGCCACCTTTGCTAAACCGGAAACCATCATGTTTCTCCATGTTCTGTCTTCATACTAACTTGCTATCCAGAGTACAGGTTACACATCTGGTCAATGAAATGCTGTGGAATGTTCATTTCAATCAGAACATAGCTTTTCACAATCCATAGAGCCATAGGCTTCTTGTAATTTATAAAGCACAAATGGATTGTCTTTGAAGTTCTCTTGGTACACTTCATCAGCGAACATACATTTACAATATGATCTGTAGTACCTCTTCATTTTCTGTATCTAGCTTAAGCACCAAGCCCTTCTCCCTCTATATACAGCAAAACTTTGTTGAAAACTAATTTATTTGCATGGAAAAATCAATCCTACAATTACTACTTTCTTTACTATCTCCCTTCTTGGGGATCAGAATGTGTAGTCAACATTTGTTGAAAACTAATTTATTTGCATGGAAAAAATCAATCCTACAATTACTATGTTCTTTACTATCTCCCTTCTGGGGATCAGAATGTGTAGTCGACATTTCAGTCTGTTCTGTTTTCCATATTTGCTAGCACATTCTTATTTGGATTTTAACAGATTCCATCTCTATAGCCTGAAATAGCTCTACTGGTACGACATCTATTCCTGGTGACTGATTTTTTCCAAGTGCTTTGAGAGACCATTTCACTTCATTTTCTAAAAAGAAGAACTCTTTGATGAAAAATTTACTGTTTTAGAAAATGGAATGAAATGATCTCTTAAAGCACATGGAAAAAAATCAGCATCTGTAACTAATCAATTCATGTACCTAGGTCTGGAGATGAGAGACAAAATGATAATTCCTGCCTAAACAAATTCCTTTACAGAAAAGTTGCCAAGACTTTTCACAACTGAACCAAATCAGGATTTAACCTGCACCAAGCTAGTACATCAGATCTGGGCAAAGTGCGGCCCGAGGGCCACATACAGCCCACAAGCCGCTCCTGTCCATCCCACGGACAGTTTTGAACATCAAAACCATTTATAGCTTTTTGTCTAAAGTTGATCAGTTGCCTGTCTTTAACATACCACTGTGATCAGTTGCTTATCTTTAACATACCACCGAAAACCTCTTTAGTATTTGTTAAAATTAACAAGTTTAAAATAAAACTATCATAACATCACTGTTTCATTTTATTTTTAAGTCAAATTGGTTTGGCCCCCAAGACAGTTCAGATTTTTCATGTGGCCCCCCCTATAGAAATTAATTGCCCACCCCTGTAGTACATTCTCCAATGACTGAGCAATTTTAAATTTGACTCAATTGTTTACATTTCCCTATAGAAATTAATTGCCCACCCCTATAGTACATTCTCCAATGACTGAGCAGTTTTAAATTTGATTCAACTGTTTACATCCAAAGAATAAAACAAAAATCATGTACTTTACACAGAACATTTTTCATTACTCTGGAAAAAAATCCAGATACAGTGGTGCCCCGCTAGACGCTTACCCCGCATGACGTTGAAATCGCTTAACGATGACATTTTTGCGATTGCTATGATGGTTCCAATGGGGTTTTTCCACATTATGTTGATTAGGAGCCTGCTTCGCGAACCGTTTGTTCGCTATGCCATTATTTTTCCAGTTCTGCAAAATGGCTTCCCTCCCTTCTCAAAATGGCTGCTTTCTGGACCCCCTGCTTCGGAAGACAGCAATTTTTAACAGCTGATTGGTGGTTCTCTATGGGCAGTCTTCACTGGGCGATGAGGTATTTCCCCATTGGAACACATTGACTGGTTTTCAATGCATTCCAATTGTTTTTTTTTCACTTGACAACGATTTCGCTTAGCAGCAATTTTCCTGGAATGGATTATCATCATCAAGCGGGGCACCACTGTAATACAAATATAAACAGGTTCCCTAACCCTCTTCCTAATAAGCATTTGCAGGGAAAGGAACAATTGGTAAATGTTAAGTTTACCTGATATTAAGGAGTTTCAACGCATTCATCAGAACACCTTTTTTCACATCATAGTCTATTTTTTGGTCAGTACCAAAGCTTGGAGCACGATTAATCTGAAATATCAAAGAGAACACCTCCAGGTATGTTTAATCCACAAAATAATAACTCAAACTTTCTTCCCCATGCATACCCAGCACTAGTTTTCAAATTCTAAATTTGTACAGTTGGGTCTCTACTTAAGAACGTCCCTACTTAAGAACAATCCAACTTAAGAATAGCTCCATTTGCTAAATTTTGCTTCTACTTGAGAACAGAAATTCAAGATAAGAACAGGAAAAAAAACCTTTCCTGCTCTTTTTTTAACCTTAGGTCATCTTAGGTTTAAAAAAAATTCTCCCCCTAGTGGTAGAGTACGTATTAATCAGCTTTGCATTAGTTCCTATGGGAACTAATGCTTCAATGTACGAACGCACCTCTACATAACAAAAAAAAACAGCCAGAACGGATTAATTGGTTTTCAGTCCATTCCTATGGGAAATTTTGCTTCAACTTAAGAACGTTTCAACTTAAGAACACCATTCCAAAATGGATTAAGTTCTTAAGTAGAGGTTCCACTGTAGTTTCTATGGACGGAAAAGAGCAGATACATATTAAATGGTTTTCAATGCATTCCTATGGGAAATGCAGATACAGCATAAGAACTTTTCAACTTGAGAACCACCTTCCAATACGGATTAAGTTCTTAAGTAGAGACCCCACTGTAAATAGTCCTGCAGCTACACTCTGCCAAGCGCAGAATGACAACTTTTTTCATATAATATAGGTATTTTCTATTGCAACATCCACCTACATAAAAAGCATTTGTACAAAGTACGATAGCAAAGTACAGCACAGCACAACAGAGGATCTGCTGTCATTCCTTACCTCTAACCATAAAGCAGTACAACTGGATCCAATGTCTGATTCCAATCTAATCTCTCTCTAAACTAGTCCCATTTGCTTTTTTAATTTTTCGTTTTTCTTTCTTTCTTTTTTTGTCTTGTCCATTCACTTTCCTGTCCTTTCTAACATCCTCTGTGGACTCTCTTTTGCTCTTCTCTGTCTGGATCCTGTTTCAATTCCTTGTCTCTACCACAAATACACATTGGCTCTCACAATGATTCCTTTCATTAAAAATACTCTTTCTGTCACAAGCATCTCCTGAATATAACTGCTGCTCCCACATAAATGTACTTTACAGCCTCAAAGTTCTAAAGCATTGAGGGCAAACTGTAATCCATCACTTGGGCTTTGAAGGTTGCTGGCAGTAGCCAGCTATCTGAAAAACACACTTAGTGTAAAGAAAAATATGCAGCCCCGAGACTGCATCTTGCTGAACAAATATTGTTATTGATGCATTAAGTTAATTAAAATAATGCTATTCCCCACCAAAACATATGGATGAAACAAGTTTGACAGCAAGGAAAAAAGAGGAATGTTTTCACTTTTGATCCACTAGATGGTGCAAGATAGCTCACCAGTAAAAGACAATGCAAGCCTTTATTAGAAAGTGGCATTTCTCTGGAACATTTAGGAAGCAAGAGGTCAAGGTAGTGTAACTTGGAGGGGAGGATGTTATCTCTGCTTTGTCCTTAGAATTCGGAACACTCCCAAGAGCAGGTGGCTATGATTCTGCATTCAAGAATATTTTATGGCCAGTTTTTAAGAATCTGTGCCATAATCCAGGAAAGCTTACTACATGCAGACAAGCACAGGGTTTTTAGCTTTTCTCAGATTTGAAAAGCCTTCCTATTGGCCTGTTACTCAATAGTTTCCCACATTACCCCACATTGCCAGCAAGTTCCACTTCTGAAACATCTTTGAATTTTAAGCCAGCTCAATTATGTCATCCGATGAACTTCTGAAGGCCAGTTTGACTGGGCCTTGAATTTCAGAATCCACTTAGAAATCCATTAGGAGTGAGGTACAAGTCTTGGGCTTCTCCATAATTTTAGTCCAGCCTCCCTGCCCCTTCCGATCCTATTCTTAAAAAGAGACATCTATCTAGCTATTTTTCTTTCTATCTATCTGTTTGTCTTATTTACAGGCTGCCCAGAAGGAGACTTAAGACAATTTACTGTATTGAAAAGGCTAGAATTAAAAACTCAATATGTTATACATTAAAAACAATTAAAGTATAAAACTGATTAAAATAATAATATTCAATTTATTGTCATTGAACATATATACACCGTATACACATACAACGAAACTCACAAAGAACACTCAGAGACCAGACCAAAAACACACACACACACCCTCATAACAATCCCTAAATCCCCAAGCCCCTCCTAAAACTCATAGTATTCACTCATCCAATCAGGCATTGAATGATTAAAACATATAAAACATTAAAAACTCTCTTAACTAAGGACATGGCATTCAAGGACTCAGTCATGATTGCTAAAAACCTGCCTGAAGAGGTGGGTCTTCAGCTGTCGGTAGAAGGATAAAAGGGGGGGGGCTGACCTCCCAAGAAAGAACATTCCATAACCTGGGAGGCCTCTCTCATGTTCCCATCAACAATGCCTGCGGTGGCAATGGGACTGAGTGGAGGGCCTCCTCTGGTTATCTTTACCATTGAGAAGGTTCATATGGGGAGATATGGTCTTTCAGGTAGCCTGGACCCAAGCTGTAGAACCAACAGAGATCCTGTGAGCCCTGACAAAACTCAGTAACATTTCATCCACCTCCTTTGTGCTCTCTGATGCACTCCAGAAACTTATGAAAGTCAGCGATAAGGTGGTTCTATTATAAGTGATGTTATACAAGCAGACTTTATCACAAAAACAGATCACAACTTTCTATTTTCAAGTTTATTCTTGTTTTCTTTTGGTTCCTAAATTTTTGTGTACAGTACTTTATATCATAATGATTTTTTCCTCTTGAAAGATAGACATGTAGAGGGCTTGAAAAATGCACTTGTCCACTCATATGTGACAAGTGAAAAAAAGGCGCTTGATGAGCCACAGCTCCCTCCCTCCCTTCCTCCTTACCCTCTGCCCGTCTCTCTCTCTCAATGATCCTGCAGTCCTCCCCTCCCCCCTCTCATTGCAAAAGTAAAACAGCCTCTTCTTGCAAGAAGGGAGTTCAAGCAGCACATAGATATATAGCTATGCAGGAGAATGTAGCATAGTCCCATGCTGGAGAATATGGAGATTTCCTGCTCCCAATTTAAAACGAATGAGGACATATCCTGGGTGGGAGGGAACTGTGGCTCCTTAAGAGGCCGGGCGCTTTTGCTTTCATTTTTATTTTTGCTGGAGACATTCAAAAGAAAGGCATTCAAAATACAAGCTTCATGATCCCACAGGCACACAGGTAATAATGCAACCCAGGTCTGAGGGTATATTTATTTTGGGGTTTGCATTGTTACATAGAAATAAAAGTGAACAAGTGCCTAGTTTAAATTTGTTAACATAAATTGCAAGGATATAGTATACAAGTGCCTAGTTTAAATTTGTTAACATATATTGCAAGGCTATAGTACGGTCATGCTTACTGGTGAAATTTTTGACTGATCGGTGAGACATTCTAAAAATTTTCAAGTCCTGGACATGTATTTATTTTTAAAATAATAAAAATTGCTGCCCTTTCAGACTGTGCATAAGAAACAGGTGTGGAATTTGTGAAACGTCCTCTCTTATTATCAGGTTTGGAAAGTAACATCCAATTAGCCCATGGAGCAGATTGTAAAGCCAGACATAAGGCAGGAAAGGACACAATACAAATAATATTTGCTTCTTTCCTTGCTGCTTCTATGCATGAAGTGGGATTTGCTTCCATGACATGTAGAGAAATTTGTATGCTCCAGAACATACTGTGGATAGCATCCACATGTGTCACCAGACATTGTATTAAATCCGGAGGTGGCAAAATGTTAACTGCTTGCACATTCTTTGGGGACCCTCAGAAAAGCCCTTCTGGATCAGACCAATGGCAAATACACTCCAGGTTCCTGCCTCCCACAATGGCCAGCCACAGGCTTCTGGGAGACCCACAAGGCAACAGAGCTTCCCACCTTCCCAGCAATTGGTATACAGAATTACGATGATTCTTACAGACCGTATTGTCCCACGTAGGCCTCTTCTAGTCTTAAAGTCTTCTGGGGAGGCCCTCCTCTCAGTCTCATCACCTTTACAGGCCTGTTTGAAAGGGACCCAACAGAGGCCCTTCTTGGTGGCTGCACAGAGATTATGGTATGCTCTCCCCTGTGAGGCCAAACTGGCCCCCAGTCTCCTCTCCTTTTGGCAGCAACTGAAAACATTCGTTATCAAACAGGCTTCTTGATTGTATCTAATTTCACATAGCTAGATGACCCACCCTTGCTGCCTTTTGTATCCTTGTTACTATCTTTTTTTTTAAATGCTTTGACATGTTTAACCTTTTGTATTACAGTTTTAATATTTCCATGTTTAATAAGTTTTTAATGGTTTGTGTATCATGTTTTAATTTTTTGTTTATCTTAATGATCTGTGAATGCAAGCAGGCAATAAGATTCCTCTTTCCCTTCTGGATAATATATGAACTAGCAGCCAGACACAACTGTAATCCATTCTGAATGACATTTTACTACTTCTCTTCCATCCCTTCCATCCACTAAATAGACAAGATGTTGATTATGTTTCCTTCATATTATGGCAAACTGATTTAAGTGATTCTGTAAGCAGCTTACCTCTAGGAGCCATGGCTTGAGTCTTCTGTCCAGTAGAATGTCAAACCCAAGAACTTCAAAGCAAACACTGTCACTTCCTGGAGACTGCCCTGGTCTACACATACGGTAAGCGTGAAGGACATGTGGCTCTGCTACTATTAGTGTCTTTACCACTAATTCCTGGGGGATTGGGCAGAAAGTAAGGTTAGCAAGGGAGGCATCATTATTTATACCATTTATTATTTAAGAACACAGAAAGATATTAAAGCTTATTCAAAGACAGAAAAAAAAGACCGATCATGCAGAAGTCAATAATTTATCTGATGGGTGTTTCGCTCTAAATCACAAAAGCATAGGAAAAAATTAAATTTAGGGATTTAGTACTGCCAAACTATTCTAGCTATTTTGTTCATCCCCACCCCCACCCCCACCCGGGTCTGGAACAATCTGGATTTTTGTCAATTTTCCACATTCAACACATGCAAAAGTCTTGCTCCCAAGGAACCAGACTTCACCTAAAGACAGTATCAGAGTTTGCCTTCTAATAATTTAACAACATAAACATTGTAGGTAAATACGTCTTGTTCAAAATAAATAAAAGGAAGTATTCACTGCCGATTTGTGCATTAGAAATCACACTGTATTCCATTCCAAATTGAGAGATGTGGAGTACTGTTAATATGCCAACATAAACATAAAAACAGTTATTGCATATTAGTTTTTTTCTTACTGAAATATCATTCCAGAATTTGGAAACGTCAAGGTGATTTGTTTGCAGAAACTCAGTAAACCACTTTATAGAGCGCTTACTGCCTTTATCTTCTGTTTCATCCCGTTCAAAATGTTCATTATGCTTATTCACAGAGTAGTTGGTCAGATGCATATACAGCTGGTTCTAACAGAAAAAGAAAGGGGAGGCTTCTTTGAGCTGCAGATATCAGAAAGGGTGCAGGGGAAATTTGCTGAATTCAAATTTTGTTATACTCTACGGTATTTTGTTATTTTATTTATATTTTCTAATTTGCCATAGACTATGTGCTAAACAATAAATTGAATTTGTACATTCATTTAATGGTCAAGGAAAAGGACACAGCGACAGAGCTTTAAAAGGCCTCTAGAATGATCAGGGAACTACAGCAACTCACAAGGTTTACAAGGTATGGGGCATTTCCGTGTAGAAAAAAAATGTGAAGGAAGCTTTCTAAAACTGTATGAAATTACAAACATTGTGGTGAAAGTCAATAAAAAGGGATTTTCAATCCCTTTCCTGCACTACTTAGAATCCAGGGTCAACACCAATGACAAATGGTGGCAGATTCAAAATAAATAAAAGGAAGTGTTTCTTCACAAAACACATCAACAATGAAGTTTGCCATCACATAAAGTTGGTGATGACTGCCAACCTGAACAGCTGTAAAAACAGATGAAACAGACTCATGGAAGATACGGCTAACAGTGGCTTCCAATGATGATGGCTATACAGTGGTACCTCAACTTAAGAACTTAATCCGTATTGGGACTGGATTCTTACGTCGAAATGTCCTTAAGTCGAAGCACCATTTCCCATAGGAATGCACTGAAAACTGATCAATGCATTCTGAGGGAAGAGAAAAGGCAAAAAGGCAGGGGGAATCTGAATTTCCAGCCCTGTCCCCCTGCCTTTTTGCCTTCGGAGGTCTCAAAGGGCTTCCTCCGATGTCAGAGGGAAAGCCCTTGGAGACCTCCGAAGGCGCCAATCGCTCCGTTCGCAAAAATTAGCATCGACTTGCGAATGGAGCCTCGACATCTGAAGGAAAAAGGCAGGGGAAAAGGGCGGGAAATTTGAATTTCCCACCCTTTTCCCCTGCCTTTTTTCGTTTGTAGGTCAAGGCTCCGTTCGCAAGTCAGTGCCAACTTTTGTGACCGAAGCCGTTCGTAAGTGGAAATGTTTGTAGGTAGGGACGTTTGTAAGTGGAGGTCCCACTGTATATGCTATCTCCAGTTGCACCATCTCTCCCAATACTCGTCTCTGGGAACAAGATTGGGAGAAGGTTATTGCTCTCATATACCTTGCCTGTAGGCTTCCCTCAGGACTCTGGCTGGCCACTGTGAGAAACAAAATGCTAGACTAGATAGACCTTTGGTCTCATCCAGCAGGGATATTCTTACATTCTTTTCTTCTGACTTCTATGTTATTGATTGGACCTCAAAGTAGACCTTTAAAGGATCTGGAATTATCTGATAAATATGACCCTTAAAACAACACATGAATGCCTCCTACATACAGTTTTATAGCAATACAGATACCTTGATGAATTAATGCTTTTATTGGTTGCTTGCTTTTGCAGACTTGTATAAATAGCAGCTAAATAAAAGAAAGTGTGTATATGCACAACAAATAAAACAGAGCATCTATTTTCCATTACTACAGGTGTTCTCTGGAGAGAAAGAATTAAAGACATGCAGATGCAGATGATAAATCTTTTCCCTTTATCTTTATCTTTTGTTCAGATCTCAGCTGAGTAATATACTGGAAAACCAACATTCCTCAATTCAATCAAAACTGTAGCCATAAATATATCTACTTAATATCTACTTACCAGATTTGAATCATTGGGGGGATTATACTTCTCTGTACCCATTCTCACTAGACCATCATGATACAAAAATATTTTTAATGGATCACAAGAAGTCACCAAAATGTAGATTCTTAAATCAAATTTGTAGCCTTCCATAAGAAAGGGTTTGTCAAGGTACTCCTGGACTATTAGGTGTTCTTGAGGATGTAACTTTTCTGCATTTCTTGTCAGAGAGATCCTAATGAAAATCATGAAAGTAAATTTAAAACGTTGAAAGTAAGCAAACACTCAGTAATTCAGTTTCAGTTCTAACTAATCTGGATCATGATCTTATCAATACAGATGCATGTGCATCAGACCTAACATATTTGGACTCAAGGTTCCATCTAAGGCATACGCCTGCATGCACACTTGACTCCACCTCCCTCTGCACAGCACCTCCTCCTCCATGCAGCAATCATTTCCAGCCCCTTTGGTTGCAACAGAACCTGCTGCATGGGAGAGGCGGAGTCATGCGGGTACACAGGGGCAAAGTCATGCAAGGGAGAAGCAGAGCCTGGCAGGGCTGAAAATTAGAGGGCACGTTGCTTGGACTTCTGTGCCAAAGCTGGAAAATGTGTGAACTTTCCAAATTCTGCTGAATTTCTACTTCCATCAGCTTCAATCAACTCAAGGATCAGGGATGCTTAACCCAGGCCACATGCAGCCTATAAGCCATGTCATATAGTGCTACCATGCATTTAAATAAACCATCCACTTTTCAACTTGAGCAAAAAACAAACCCATTAAAATTACACTGAAACCTTAACGTACTATGAGTATGCCTTCCGTATGTGGCTGCACTGTCACAGTGAGAGATCATACACTTAAGAGTAGCTGATGGGTCACAGTAAAATTAGGAAGGATTTATATCAGCATTTCAATTCATGTGATATTTCCTGCAGTGGTATCTCCTGTGGCCACCATCAGCTATGCTTTCAGCGCCTAGGATCCAAACGATCCTGACCTGTTAAAGTTTTCTCTTTACAAACTCATATTTAAAATAGAATTTTTTTTCTTCTTCTCGTCTGTTTAAAGAAACTGTCATTTACTGTTCTGATGTTGTACACACCTACATTCACAATATGAGAAACACAGTCAAGATTTGTATTAATAAATATAAATCCCCATATTAATGGATTAGCACCTGGAGAAAAGACCAAACAAATTGTGTCCACTATTTGAAAGTAGATTTTTTAAACATTTTATCATTACATGAACAGCATATTTAACAATGTTGTAATTACTGAATTTACCTGTTACATTCCCACATAAAAGAAACTCCATAATGGATTATATAATACACACTAAGAGAAGCAGCAAGAAACACAATTCAGCATTATTTGTATTTCTCATACCCATGTCCCATTGCACCATTAGCTGGCTTTACTATGAATGTTTTCTGTCTGCGTTTTCTCTTGAGTTCTTTAACATAATTCTGGAATTGTGTATACTCTGCTGGGAAAATCCATGTTCGAGGAATAAAGCTATACTCTTGAGGCTGAGATTTTATCATTCTGAAACAAAACAAAAATAGTCAATGCGATAGAGGCTCTTTTTTTGTACTTTGAAGTATAAACAGCATTTGATTAGCTGCAATCCTGTTGAGTAACTATTCCTTCATAATTCAACATTACGAAAGTGGTAGTGCTTATTACATCAGGGCAGATATGCTATTCACAAAGAACTTCTAAAGGCACATTGCGCAGTTGGTTGAAACAGAAACTGTGCAACTGATTTGCACAATCAAACTGTGAAATTCTTGTTGCCTGGACAGAATGCTACACCTAGAAACACAAGATTATGCCCATTTTTTTCTTGCACTAAGAGCTAGAGGCTTAGCATGTTTACTCAGGAGAAATTTCCACTTAATTCAATGAGAGTGAATCCCAAATAAATATACACTGCATTGCAGTCTAAATGTTCCACAGGAACCAAAAGGGCTGGTATGCCAAAACAAATTTACAATATGCATTATCACCACAAAACATTTAGTAACATACCAGCGTATGTCCATATTTAGCAACAGCAAGATCCCAAAAAAGGTATATACATTCATCTGTATGTTTTTATCTCCTTATTCGTTCAAATATTTTTCATGTTCTCATTTTTCATGTTTTTGTATGTACAATTAAATTGTTTACCATTTATTTTACTCCTTTTTTTATGGGAAAGCTGGTCAACCGTGAGCTCCAAGATTTCTTCCAATGCTGACTGGAAGTTCTGTAAATGGAAATCTAAACATCTGGAGGGCCAATGCTTCCTCAAGCCTTTTTACAGCCACTGGATTTTCATGCCATTACAACTACCTTCTCTGCAGCCACTGCAAAGGAAGAGGGTAGGTAGGACTTGCTAAGCTCCATGGGAACTGCAAAGGATTGTGGAGCTGGTAGTCTCTCTGCTCATTAGGCTCTGTACATGGTGGCTCTCAAAAACTACAGTCATGCCCCGCTTTACAATTACCCCGTTTAACGACAAATCCGCTTGATGGTGAGGTTTTTGCGATGATGGTCTGAATGGGGTTTTTCCGCTTTGCGATGATCGGTTCCCTGCTTCAGGAACCATTTTTCGCTTTACGACGATCAAAAACAGCTGATCGTCGGGTTTCAAAATGGCCGCCGGCTGAAGAAAATGGTCCCCCGCTTTGCTTAGGGACAGATTCCTCGTTGCACAGGCAACAAAAATGGCTGCCCCTATGGAGGATCTTCGCTGGACGGTGAGTTTTCAGCCCACTGGAACACATTGAACGGGTTTCAATGCATTTCAATAGGCATTTTTATTTTGCTTTACGACATTTTCGCTCTATAGCAATTTCGCTGGAACGAATTAACGTCGTAAAGCGAGGCACCATTGTATTCAGTTCCATAAACTCTTATAGTTCCCATGGAGCTTAGCAAGTTCCATCCACTCTCTCCCTTTACACGTGCCACAGAGAACAACATGCTGGACCTCTGCTCTACTGTATATGCTAAAACTCCTCTGACAACTTGGATATTAATGCACCCTGACTTTGAACTATTGAAATAAGAATTTGTGGAGAAACAGATTTAATAAGGGATACTTTCTAACTTTAAGCAGCACAGATGTAGTGTTATCCTAAAACAGGGTGTAATAAACAGAAAGCAAACATAAACCTAAGAGCTTTGATGATACTGTACTCCTACCATGGGAGTAGTGAGGTGCCTCTAATTGCTCAGCTTAGTTACAGAAGCTGCGGAAAAAATTGCCAAGCACAGCTGCAAATGCAGGACCGGAGCCAAAAACATCAAGGCCTTGGTACAATAGATAGCCAGTTACAAAAGCAACTAGCTAATTACACAATGAAACACTTACAGAAAAGCATAATTCACATGATGCGTATTATTTTAGAATCATTATACAGTACTGTACTCCCCAAAAATGTTTATGTGAAGGTACCCTAAATATAAACATAATCATACTATGTCTTCGTCTGGCAACTCAGCAACCCCATTTGGAATGGGGAGAGACATACCCTTAATTCAGCAAAGACACTGCAAACAGACACAAGTATTCCTTCACAGAAATAAAGGGTTGGTTCAATCCTTCATGCACATTACTGGATTACCCCCCTTATTAGATGATTCCCTGAAGCGTCCTCACTGTGAGTATTGGGTTTGTGGGAATACAAAGTCTCTTGTTGGTTTGTGTATGCTAGTCATCAAGCTATGGACATGCTTAACACAACAAGCTTATTAGGAACTTACATGGTTTCATATGGACACTGCCAGCAGTACTTTTTGGCACCTACTTGAAGATGCCAAGGATTATGACTATTTTGCATCCGCTCTAATACTGAATCCTGGCCCAGTAACCAAACCTAAATTCTTCATAGGCCCAAAGCCAAAATAATATTTTAAGGTTGTTGGTAAAATTATATTCTTCATGTTTTCATTTTATTTCTAAGTATGAGCACATAGTGCATGCTTGGTAGTACACCTGTTGTTTCTAATTCAGGACCCACTGGTGCTGATTCATTTAAGTGATTCTGCTTCTTAATCAGGACCCAGGGTGGAAAATCCCATTAACCTTAAAGATAGCATGTGGAGAAGCCATCATCCTCTCTGTGTGGCACTTTCTATTTTCCCCTGATATCACCCTTCCTTGACAGAATCTCAGCACTGACTAATTGAATTCCTCTCTCTTGATTTTGGAACACCACTGAAGGGAAAAACACTCTTACCATTTCGGACTGAGAGAAGGCCTACCCTTTCAAAATGAACATAAGCATACAAAAGCACATACAGTATTTAGAAGCATCAAAACCTGAGGGATGTGATTTTACTCCTCGTCTTCAATTATTAATTTAGCCAAGGGCCTGTATAGAACTAAGGCTCAACTTTCATACTGGACTAAGCCTCAGTGCCCAAGCACATGCTTTCCCTATTAAACACCCTAGGCATAATCCTGATTATCATCAGAAACTCCAAAACATTGCTGGCAATATTTGTTTCTTCAGAACCTCTCCTCTTACTCAGATGTCTCATCTATCTCTTGATTCCCAGTAGGAATAGGAAAACCTGTCGGTTTTTTGTTTTTGCACATTCAGATTTTTGTCCCACATGTGTGATTTGAACATTGATGTCTTATTTTTTTGTTTCTGCTTGTTTGTTTTTTAAATGAACAGAAATGAAATTCTCCCCCATCCTTGCTTGGTAGCCTTTCCATGAGACCTCACAGAGGCAACACAGATGATACATGGAAGCTTGTTGAAATATCTATTCTCTAGTAATATCTTGTAGATTGGATTACATGTCCTCCAGCAATGGAACACTCTCTCTGCAAAAGGCACAAATCAAAGCAGGTACCAGAAACAAACAGACTGACTACAACAGATTACGACAGTCCAGGCACATCTACTGCCTTATTTTTCTTATGGCTTTCAACTCCATGTCAGAACATATTAACTTTTTATGATAAATGGAAATGGGAAGAGAGCTTCAAAAATATGAAGTAAGACAACTTGTTGCCAAATCTAATTTTCTTAGCTGGTGTTCTCATATGTACCACCATCATGTCACGATTCCCTTTTTCTGTCATCAAGATGCCTCTAGACATTATTAGACCTAAAGAAGAGAGGGAACTTGTTTTGCCACTTCTATAGTACGCTCACTTGAAAATAACGTTAAACAATGCAGCACAAGTGTGGCTGCAGGTAGGCACTTTCTTTTTCTTGCTCTCTTGTTCTGTGAAATTAGGCTTTTATAGATTATGATGTTGCTGGTAGTGACAATGAATAGCTCACTCCTAAGTTAGCTCTCCTACCAAATGCTTTCTGTCTTTACACTACATGCCTCTATTCTCACTTATGACACAGTTTTACATTAAAGAATTCCAAAAGCAATTTAATAAAGCTAGGCCTTGAGAGCCTAAATAATGCACCATCTTAACCAGTGGCTCTCAACCTTGGGTCCCCAGATGTTCTTGGCCTGAAACTCCCAGAAGCCTTCACCACTAGCTGTGCTAGCCAGGATGTCTGAGAGAGAGGGTCCTTTCTGTGACTACTCCCAGGTTGTGGAATACTCTCCGCTAGGTTGGATGTCTGTCCTTCCAGTGGCAGCTAAAGAAATTTCCTTTTATACTTTGTTGAAACCAGTGATGGCGAACCTATGGCATACGTGCCACAGCGGGCCCATGGAGCCCTTTCTTCTGGCACGTGAGTCATAGGTTGCTACTCCCCCTGCCCCCCCCTCGACCCCCTGCGCAGCCAAACCTCATGAGGCAGCTGCAGCCGGGATTCCCCCTTCCACCACCACTTCCGGGTCCTCTGGGTCCATCGCTATGATTCCCCCTTAAACCGCCACTTCCGGTTCCGGTCTTCCGGGTCTGGGTCCATCGCCACCGCAATCACGCCACCCGCTGCCCCCCCCCCATTTTGGGCACGCAAGCCTAAAAAGGTTCGCCACCACTGTTTTAAACAGACTTTTAATAACTACATTGGGCACCGTGCTAGACTCTCCGTGAAATCTTGGTATTGTACTTTTTAGTGTATGTGTGTGTTTAGATGACTAATATTGTATTGCATGTTCAATTGTTTTTAAATTTTATACTTAATGTGTTTCCAACTTTGCCTGTATTCAAATTATTGTGGGCTGCCTGGAGTCCCTTTATGAGACACAGGCAGCACAGAAGTGATTAATTATTATTTTTTTAGAAAGCATTTTGTTATCCCATTCATGCTGAACAACTGCTAGTGGAACAACTAGTGGAAGCCATCCCAAAAAAGCCTATCCAATGAAGTTATAATGAATGGCAGAAAAGCTGGTGCAAAAGAAATGCAAGAAGAACCCATGTGCCAGATTTTGACACGAGTGCAAAGATGAAAACAAGGCTTCTGCAAACAAAAGCTTTCTACCACAAAGTGTGTAACACACAACCACTGGGTGCCCGTGAAAGTAAGACAATGCTGAGAGATTTTTAAAACCTACCTCTTCCCTTCCTCCCCCCCGCAACAATTTGAAAACATTTTTTCTTTTCCTTGTAAGTAAAACAACAAGAAAACATTACAGTGTCCTGACAAGAAGACAACACCCCTGCCAGATAAGACCAAAAGTCCATCTAATTCAGCGTCCTATTTCCAGCAGTGGATAACTGGGCAATTCCATTACATTCACAAGCTAGGATGGCAACAGCCCACGTACCACTATTGCTTATTACCTATTCCCAATGTAGCCTTTCAATCTAGAAGTTTCAAGATAGCCATCATGACAAGCAGATACTAAAGGAAGGCTCTCTGAAAAGACCACTAAAAACCGAATACAGTGGCGCCTCACTTAATGAGCGCACCGTACAACGACGAAATCGCATAGCGATCCCTTTTTTGGGATCGCCAAAGAATTGATGCCTTTGAATTGTGGTGCTGGAGGAGACTCTTGAGAATCCCCTGGACTGCAAGGAGAACAAACCTATCAATTCTAAAGGAAATCAACCCCGAGTGCTCACTGGAAGGACAGATCTTGAAGTTGAGGCTCTAGTACTTTGGCCATCTAATGAGAAGAAAAGACTCCCTGGAAAAGACCCTGATGTTGGGAAAGTGTGATGGCAAGAGGAGAAGGGGACGACCGAGGATGAGATGGCTGGACAGTGTCTGCGAAGCAACCAACATGAATTTGACACAACTCCGGGAGGCAGTAGAAGATAGGAGGGCCTGGCGTGCTCTGGTCCATGGGGTCACGAAGAGTCGGACACGACTAAACGACTAAACGAAACAAATGCGATGGCTCAACGACTTTTAGATAGGGCGAAACTCGCTTTGCGAAGATCGGTAAGCGTTTCGCTTACCGATCTTTGCAAAACGAAGCCCCGACAACGAGTTGTTCGGCCCCGAAATGGCCCAAAATGGCCGCCGGAAGCCCCGAAATGGCCCTAAATGGTCGCGCGCAGTGTTTTCGCGCCCTCGTTAAGCGAGGGGAGGGCGCAAAAATGGCTGCCAGCCATCCCGGAACATCGCTGAACGGTGAGTAAAGGAGCCGACTGGAACGCATTAAACACTGTTTAATGTGTTCCAATGGCTTTTCCTGCCCCGTTCAGCGATGTTTCGCTATAGCGAAGGTTAATCCGGAACGGATTAACCTCGCTATGCGAGGCACCACTGTATGGCCAAATCCTAGTCCAAATGTCGCAATATGAAAACAGATTTAAAATATGAAAACAAACTTTATAATATGTATTCTGACCATCATTCTTCCATTGTTTAAAACATTAAAAGGCTAATTACTTGGTCATGTTCCTTGCTAGGAAATCTTTCCTACAGATCTCGCCCATTCCTGGGAAATGGTTGATTCTCTGGAGGGGAGAGAGAGAGAAAGGGAATACATATATTAGGAGGATATGGAGAGTTAAGAACATTACAGAATAATATTTCAAATTTATAATAAAATCAGTTGCTACCAAGTACAGAATTTTACTAGTTATGCTAGATATCATCTGGAAATATCAAGACAGTATTTAATTAATTATGAGTTAGTTAATTAACTAACTAACTAATTCATTCACTCATTCATTCATTTACACTTTTATATTGGCCATCTGACCAGAGGCCACATCTACCAGTGTACAGAAGAGAACAAAAACACAATCAGTAATCATAAAACACTAACATAATAAATAAGATTATAAAATAAAATGAACAGCAAAAGAAAAAATAATTGTATTGTTATGTTGTTAGCCGCCTAGAGTGGTCCTAACAAGACTAGATAGGCGGGATATAAATTAAATAAATAAATAAATAAAAAACACCTACAATAAATTAATCAGTCAATAAAATTCAAAATTACATGCAATTATTACAATTATCATTATACTCAATATTTATTTCATTTGGTATTGCATCCATTGTACATTGAGAATTATTTACATTTCTCCTTTTACAGAATACTACTCATACACCTAGATGAGTCAGAGATTTGTTGAAGGCATTAGGCCCATGAAAAGATCTGGAACTCAGTCTTCCTGATCCCCATTTGTATGATCTCCGCACCATTAGGTTTGGTCCAAACAATCGGGTTTTTTTAAGGAAGAAAATAAGTTTGCAACAAATGGAAAGAAAAAGAATTATTAACTAGCCCAAGAAGGAACAGGACAGTTCAAATTCTTCCTAAACCGCTGAGACTTACTGATCAACATTACACGTATTGGCTGACTACTTCTGGCAGCAGTTTTCCATTTGCAACCGACATATAAGAGGATCTGCATATTTGAGAGTATATTTGTATTTGAATTAAGCTGAAGAACAGTTACGGCAATTCGTGTTCTGTATGTAGCCGATAGATGAAGGTCTGAGAACACAGTGTTCTTCATTTTCTGGTGCAAATGATGCTACATTTTTAAAAAGTGCAGATGGGGAAGGATGCACAAGGACCAGAAAAGCAATTGGTCTGCACATTCTTCCTGAGTCCATTAGCAACCATTACAGTAACACATACAAATGATCAAGTAACAGAACAGGTACTCTCAATTCTCTTGCAAAACAGTTTTGTGTGAAAGCATCCTATACAAAAGACTTGACTCAATATTTTAGAGGTTTCCCCAGAAATATTAAGGGGAGATAAAGATGATGAAGAAGGAAACATGCTTTTCTTCTGCCATCAAAGGACAAAATCCAATGAGCTTCCACTGAATTGAAAATCTACCAGTGCTGTAACATGCAACTGGAGTCCATGCACAAGCAGTGCCATTGCAGGCTTTGTCTACATAAGATTTAATAGCCCAAAACCTTTTGCATAGCTATATAAATGACTCACCTTTTGCAATGCAGCATGGAAGATAATTTCTACAGTGATTTTTTTAACTTGTGACAATTCACCTCTAAAAGTTATGCCATTTATATTGGCATTACATGGCAAGAGAATTTGGGCCAATAAATCAGAGGGCTGGAGGTTTGACTAGTTCAAAATGATTAGGTACAGTTGTGCCCCGCTTTACGATTGCCCCATTTAACGACAAATCGGCTTGACGGTGAGGTTTTTGTAATCACTTTGGCGATCGCAAAACGATGGTTTGAATGGGGTTTTCCTGCTTTGCAATGATTGGTTCTCTGCTTTGGGAACCGATTTTCGCTTTACAACAATCAAAACAGCTGATCGTCGGGTTTTCAAAATGGCTGCCGGATGTACAAAATGGCTCCCCGCTGTGTTTAGGAGCCATTTTTCGCTTTACAGGCAACGAAAAATGGCCGCCCCATGGAGGATCTTCACTGGACGGTGAGTTTTCAGCCCACTGGAACGCATTGAGGGGTTTTCAATGCATTTCAATGGATTTTTTAGTTTCATTTGACAACGTTTTCGCTCTACAGCGATTTCGCTGGAATGAATTAACGTCGTCAAGCAAGGCACCACTGTACAAGTTCTCCCATCCAATGTTCTGCAAAATGACATGTTTAGTGTGCCAATAATGACATGTTTAATATGTCAGTAGTATATCAAGTAACAAAAACAAAGAGAGGCAGGCCACATTAGAATGTATCTATCAGCAGACAGATACATTAATATAGCAATTAAAATCAGCTTAATACTATACGAAGTAAAACAAAAAGCCACAGGAGCATATTTGAAGTAGTTCATCCTATGTCAGTTAGCATCTCAGCCAAGATGCCCAGGCCTAGTGGGAGCTGTCTTCTCACCTGGTAGTTTCGGAGTTCTGCAATCTTTTCCTGCTGCACAGCACAATCACTCCAGATGAGATTTGCAGTTTCATCGTCATCACGAGTCTTCACAAACCCCATCTCTTCTATTACAATCCGTACTAGAAGAGAGAAATTGGTACGTGAACACTATAGAACCTAGACTTCCTGATATCTATTGATTAATTGTCATAGTTTGGTCATGAGCAATATTACCACATAAATTATTATTAAGAATGCTCATGTAGTTCAAGTCACTGTACGTAATTTCTAGAAATACAGATTTCTCTCTTATGTTGGTATAATGCTTGGTTAGAAGCAAAGGATAGCTATCCAAAGGTAAGAACTCTAGCTCAACCAAAAATGGTCTCGAAGTAATCTGTCTCAAAATGCATCACTAATTTCAGGTAATGCAGCAATGCACTGAATATGAAATCTCCCACCAGAGTGACAGGAGTCACATTACACAAGCTTTTTTTTGAGCCAAGAGGACTCCTTCAGATTCACTTCTTCAGATTCACTTCCAGGGCCTAACTGGAAGATACACATGCTTCTGGATGCTCTTGCTGGAACCTTTTGCATTTCCATTACTCCACCTCCCACCTGCTTGAATACATGAATGTATATGAATGTACATGTCTGCCTGCTGAGACTATATTCCAAGCACCTGAAAAGGAAGCTGCAGCCCACAAAAAAACTTGTAAATGAAACATGTTAGTGTTTAAAGCACCTTATGACTCTTTGTGGTTTCTGCTGCAACAGACTAACACAGCTATCCCCTGGGACTTCGCAAACCCATTCAAATGCATTGAGTCGGCTTCAATGCATTTCAATTGGGGAACCGCGTTTCACTCAAAGATGTTTCCTATGGGGATTTTCGCTTAAGGACGGCAATCCGTTCCAATTGGAACAGATTAACCGGTTTTCAATGCATTCCTATGGGAAATGGTGTTTCACAGAACGATGTTTCACAGAACGGGGTTTTTTTTGAACCAATTAATATTGTTGTGCGAGGCACCACTGTACATATAAAAATTAATATAGGAATATACCAATGTACATCCAAAGCTTTACAGGATGTCTCTATCCAATTCTTCTGAATTACTCAATCTCAACAGATAGTAACTGGCCATTCTTCTACCCCTTCCACTTGCAATATCAAAGCAGGGAGAGACATCACAGCTATAGATGAGCCAAGGCAAAGTCTGGATATGCAAGCAAATTGTGTTTTCAGCAAGGACACATCAGTGTTAGTTCCCGACAGAGTGATGTATGAAACAAACAATGAAGCAAAAGAGAAATCAGAAGACCCTGTCACAATTCACTTTGTCTGAATATCTTCCACAGACGCTGGACAGTTGCCACGTGACCTCTCAAGAGAATGACGTTCTTACTCTGAACGGTAATTATGAAAAGAATATTCTAATGACAGCACAGATTATAGCACCCCTGTCATAAGCTCCCAAACTATAAATTAATTTCTTGTGACTGAATTAAGAAGGCAAAATGCCAAACTCCAGCTTAGTTATGTGTGTGTGTGTGTGTGTGTGTGTGTTTGTGTGTGGTGTTGTTGGGTTTTTGTTGTTGTTTGTTTTTAGTGTTCTCTGCTCTTTTGTAAGTCATGTGTAAAATTAATGGGTAATGGGCAAATACTCTTGAACCTAATGTACTCTGAGTGGCCTTGTTAAATATTAGAAGCTGGAATGATCCAACAAAGGCCATTTAATGCACACTTCTCAGCTAATGTACAAACTCTTATAGAACCAGGGCTACGATTCTAGTTCTGATGACATTTCAACCCCGCATAACTCAGCAAGAATTTATGATGCTAAACCTGATCCCTAGGTTGAAACACTCACTCTTTATTAAAAACATCTTGAAACAAACTAGAACTGCAATGGAGGTAGAAGTGTAATTAAATGGGCAGACCCCTAAGCAAGTGAAGACAAGGACAAGTATTGTGTAACAAATAAATTCATTACCTAGAAATGCATTCTATAATATTTTGACCTATAAACTTTGCTAGCTAACTAACCTCCTTTGCTCTATTCATTTTTCTTTATTCTTATCGCATAATTAACTGCAGGATAAGCAAAATATGCAGCTTCTTACCAATCTCATATTTTGTGCCAGCAACATTTGCAGTGATGGCTCCATGCTTTTTCTTCTCTCTCGCTTTTCTCCTTATTGTGCTTTGGAAAGACAGGTCTGAGCTCAAAGTCAGAGAAGAGGTTCCTTGGTTATCTGTTGTTGTTTTTTTAAAAAAGAAGACAATACGTTTGCAAGCAAAGTATAAAAGTGAACTGAACACATGAAAAACTACTTTATCCCAGGGTTAACAGCATATAACAAAAATGGACAAAAAGTCACAGTCCTCTTAAAAACTGATGAGGGAAAAGCTAAATACTAGTTTAGGAAAAAACTGGGCAACTGTGGTCCTCTAGTTCTTTTTGGACTGCAATAACCATCATTCCTCATCATTGACTACGCTAACTAAGGTTAATGGGAATTGTGGGTAGAGATGGGAGTACTGTATTCGTATTCGTATACAAATATCCCCCACAGGTGCAGATAACGAGGGTCCGACCCCCTGGAGCCAGAGCAACCACTCACTTGTCTGCCACTGCCATGGGCTCCGCAATCCCTTCCTATCACTCCGGAGCTTGCGATGGATTAGCCACTCTTCGGCCTGGCAGAGAGGCTCATCATCCCGCCTTCTGCCAGGAGTGGCTAATCCATCGCGAGCTCTGGAGCCCACAGCAATGGCGGAATGGTGAGTGGTTGGTCTAGCTCCAGGGGGTGAACCCTTGTTATCTGTGCCTCTGCGTGGATATTCATATACAAATACCTCCATCTCTAGTTGTGGGCCAAAAATATCTGGAAGGCCAAGCATTATCCACTCCCATTTAGGATAATAATGTATTACAAATACATTGGTGCAGTTTACAGCCCATTCATTCTTAATCTTGATGATATGTTGTTCTGTGCCACTATGCTGATTCCAAACTATGGTGACCCTATCAATTAATCTCTAAAGAGTCCTATCATCAAGAGCTCTGTTCAGGTCTTACAAACTAAAAATTGTGGCTTCTTTTATTAAGTCAAGCCATTTTATATTAAGTTTTCAATGCACTGTAGGTCGATGGAGACTCGACCTACAGACTTTTCGACCTGCAGCCACCATTACAATACGGATTAATTCCGTAAGTAGAGGGTCCACTGTAAGAGATCATCCAAAATGGGGTCATTTTGAAATACGGTATGTCATTTGGGGTGACCCTTGCATCCACATGGTAGATCAGGTGGTTTCAGGGCAGGAGATCACACCGCACCTCAAGCAACCCAATTTAGGCTGTTCTTTCCTTTACAGAGAAAAGAGAAAAGGCAAAAATATTTTTTAAAAGGTCCTCCTATGTGTCTCTTCCTGTCTCCCCTCAGTAGGGGAGCAGGAAGAAGCTTTCAAAAAAATGTATTATTTCCAGGTGAAATAGGGCTGAATTGCCTTGCCAAACAACCAGTTCAGTATTAGATGACAAGCGCTTTCAAACAAAAAAACAAAACTTTTGTATCATCTTCTGTCTCCCCCTTTGCAGAAGAACAGGAGGATGTTTTCAATTTATTAATGACTGTTCAGTTCCCACAATGGCTAAGCACAATGTGATAGTCTGGGACACACGTGCCGGAACCGAACTAAAACAGAGCGATCTTATGAGCACCAAAAAAAGAAAAAAGTAGTCCCCGACTGAAAAAGGTACAGGTAGGCAAAGATAAGGGACAGACTGCTTTGCAACTACCCATATATCATGTAGTTGCTAGAAAAAGGAACAAACCAGCCCATCTCCAAAACAGACCGAACCGCAAGACAAATCCCTATCTAATCATATTCTTATTTGTCTTTCTGGCAGTCAATGTTATCTGTAAAGCTCTCCTTCAACATCACCTATGTAAATGGTTCCTTTTTTACTTCCCGTGGTCTTGGTGACACTCTACAAATAGTGGCTTCACTCCACAAATAGTTGGCTTCACTCCACAGTTGAAGCCAACTGTGCAAACACATAACAAGAGCACAGGTATACACAACAATAAGGGCATCTACGGTACACTCTAGAAACCCTTTTGTTCACTTGTTTGTTCTGTCTTTCTTTTTTGATGAGAAAAACAAGAGCACGAAAATGATTTAAAAAAACAAACAAAAAAAATTAAATTTGGACAGCAGTTCCAGGAACCCACCCCATACTGGCAGTGGGACTTCAAGAGTTATAATCCAACAAAGTAAATCTTCTAAACTCTGATTAAAAAAAAAAGAATTACAGGATTTCCTGCCATATGAGGACATACAATGGAAGTGAATGCATAGGCCTGCTGCCTAGCCACATGTGTGATGCTGCGAGGATATAAAATGTCTACACTGTCCATCAGGTTTTAAATAAAATTAAGTTGCAAGCCTTTGGCAAGAAGGAAACCTACCTCCCTCATTAGGCAAGGATGGCATTATCACTGGAACGGCAGAACAGCAAATTCTTCTGCATGCACCCAAGAGATGTTAAAAGGCTTTCCAAGCCAATCCTCTAAAAGCTATCGTCATACCATATCAGTTCAAGACTGTGATGAAACCCACTTCCGGAAAGAAATAGGTGCCTGCATTTAAAGAGAAATGTGTACCATAAGTCAAATGCAAGGTTAGAACACACTAGTTCCCGGTATTCAATTGGATGCAAGAATCCTATTTTTAAGGCTTAAAAATAAGATTAGAGGTTGGTTCACCACTCAAAAGAAAGCCACCATAAGTTATTAATTTTTAAAGCATGCTCCAGTACTCATTATTTATTATGCTAAATGTTTTACCTGACATACTGGTATACAGCCACTAAATTCTATCATGTTAGACCCAAATCCTAGATACCTCTTCATTTAAAATAGTTTGCAAACACCTCACAGATATATATATTAAAAGAGCCAGGAAACAATAACTAATCTAATCTGTAAAGATCAGTTTGTAATACAAGGACACAAATACCACATTAATTTAAATTTTGTGTATCAAACTTCAAGTGAGCAATCAGTTCTTCAACATTTTTCCATGAAAATCTACCAACAGACTGTGTATTTGGAACAAAAGGATTCCACTTTTGAATCCTTTGATGGCCTCTTGCTTTTAGGCTTTCTCTACCATTTCGACAAATTACCATAATATGCAAATAGAAGACTAGGCTATACCTTTATAGACCACGAAAAAAATCACCATACAATCTGCATGCTTTTGTGGATCAGAACCATCCACTTCATCAGGCATGTACCAGTTTAAAGAACATAAAATTTCAAATGTCCATCGCAAGATGGATTTTGCCAGGAAAGGTACTTTTAGATGTAATCTAAGTGTTTTCAGAGATACAGGAGGCACTCAATTTCTTGGCAAGATGGATTTCGCCAGGCACACTAAGATATAAGTCAAGAAACATGCATTAAGGCTGTTGTGTTTGGGAAACTCCCTCACTTTTGGGGGGATGACTCTCACCACGAAGACTGAGGTTCACAGCTTGGGGGTACATCTTGATCTGGCGCTTACCATGGAAACTCAGGTAGCGTCAGTGGTCCGCACTGCCTACTTCCATTTTGCTGGATCGCCCAGCTGCATCCTTATCTTGATGTCGAGACACACACCCCACTCTGGTCCATGTGCTTGTAGTCTTGAGATTAGACTACTGTAATGAGCTCTACGTGAGGCCACCTTTGAGATTGATGCAAAAGCTTCAAATGGTGCAGAATGTGGCGGCCAAACTTCTTACTGGGGTGAGAAAACATCATCAATGAAACACTCTGGCGGCCTTGCATTGGCTACCTGTTCATTTCCACATTGATTTCAAAGTATTAATGATGACATATAAAGCCCTAAACAGTTTAGAACCTCAGTATGTGGCGGAACGCCTTCTCCCACCTAGATCTACCCGTATCATTCGGTCTAACCAGGAGGGGCGGCTGAAGAGCCTAACACCGAGGTAGGCCTGAAAAGAAAGAACAAGAAAGCGGGCCTTCTCGGCAGTGGCCCCTTGGCTATGGAACACTCTCCTCCCAGAAATTTGTCTGGCTCCCTCACTGGGCTTTTTAAGAGCCAACGTAAGACCTGGCTCTTCAGACAGGCCTTCCCTCCTGTCGATACCTAATTTATTTTGCCATCCTGTAGTGTAGTAATATTATTGTTTTGTTTTATTTTAATACCGTTGTTAGCCACTCAGAGTAGATAGCGGTCTAAATGGGCGGGAAATAAATAAATAAAATAAA